GTCTTCTGGAAACATCCAGGGACAGTTAATCATGGTGTAGTTGTACATATAGTTGAAATACTATATAAGTTATGATTGGTTTAATTATCACACTTAAAGATTTTACAATTTTGATTAATATATACATATTTTATTTATGTAGATCCAGTTAGGCTTGGGAAAGAATAAACACTATCAAACTTGGCTTGAGGAATTGGTTAGTGGTTCTTTGACGTGGGCTATATCAACAACAATGTATTGTACTCATGGATACATCTTTTAGAAACATTCAGGGACAAAAAGTAACCAAAAGATTAGTTAATCCTGGTGTAGTTGTTCATTCTGACGACCTTGACTAATATAGAGAAATAAATGACATTCTTGAGATTGAGTATTCAAATGTGATTGGTATGATCCAAATTTTGGTCGGGGAGTTAGATTGACAAAGTTTGGTGTAAGATAAGTTAACTCATCTCGGAGGCTTAGTAAAGACGATCAGTTTATAATCAGATATCAGGATGATCAAGTGGGTTACCTTCCATATCCTCGAATAAGCAGTTCCAAAAATCTGTAGATAACTGTAACCCAAATAAGAGCACGAGGAAGAGTCGATGCCATTAAAGAGAATGACCCTCTGCAACAAAACATGTTTACTATGACTCAGTCTTCCGAGTATTCTCTTGAAGAGATTCAACTCGTCGCAATAGAAGAAGAGTTTCTTGTAGACATTCGAGAAGGTGATGAAGACATTCGAAAAAAAAAATTTATTTACCAAATACACACTCTCCGAGAACATACTAGCCACATAACCATTTCATAAATTATCCACAAATTTCTAAAAAAACTATTATATGCTCTCGAATTGGTGTCCGTGGAAGCTTTTTCTAAACATTTACTGATAATTATATAAATTTTTGTTGGAAACTTGTTGGTATATCTGGTGTGATTATGATGTCAAATCAATTTTAATTAACAAATGAGAGGTTATCTTGATTTCTCCTTCTGACGAAATCCCGAAATTCTTTAACGACATTAATTACTCTGGAAAATCTCTCACTATGAGTACCTCCATCAAGGATATCTCAACAAAGATATCTCAACATTTGATAAAAAAATCTATTATTTAATTAAGTGAGTATCTCAAATAGTTGAGAACTTCACTCAAAAATATCTCAAAGTTTTTTTTATTTGAGATACATTTGGATAGGTTCTCAACTATTTAAGATACATTTGAGTTAAAAGTTGAAATACTCTTAATGAAAGTGCTCTAAGGGTTCTTTTACTTTGCCGCATGTTACTCCTTCTTGCTTGAATTCCATGTTATTAATTTTATTTTTTGATTCCAAGATCACAGCAACCAATATTTCTCCCCGGTATATGTAAAAAGGATCAATTTACTTTGGTGCAGCAACTTCTCATATCATAATCTTCTCTCTGTTTTTTGTTCTTCATAGAACCCTTTAAGCAAGCCTCCCACCTCTCTAGCAACATTAAAGAAGGTAAACGTGTCATTATAGTCATTTGATTATAACGCACTACAAAAAAGTGTGTATTACATCACTTAATTTGTATCACTAAAATAAATGATATTATTTTAAATCATGTATTACCAATTGATATAAAAATATGTAATTTAACATCAGTTATGTAACTGATTTTACCATTAGTTAATTTAACATCAATTCAATAATAAATGATGCAATTTTTTCTTAATTTATATTACTTTATGAAAAAGTGATACAAAAATATAAATGCACATCACTTAGATAATTGATGTAACTATATTTTGTTGTTGACATCATTTAGAAAAATGATACAAATATTACATCAATAAAAAATGATGCTACTAATAAATTTTTAATTAAGTTTGATGTTTTGTTCCACATCGACAGTTAAGAGAGGATGTGAGTAGTTTAGTTTTTTTTATAAATAACTCTTAAAATCAATATTGATGTATTACATAAGTAAAAAGTTTAAATTCTATCTATAAAATAAATGTAAACTAATATTAAAATAATTAAAATAATTTAATACGATTTTAAATTATTATATATATATTGTAAAATTGATAATTATTATATAACAATACATCACTTATATTAGTCGATGCAAATCTTTAACATTATTTTTTGCTACCGATACAAATTAATATCGATTACAATAATTGATGAAAATATTTACATCATTTGCTTAATTGATGCAAATATTTACATCATTTGCTTAAACTTATGTAAAATATTTGCACAACTGATATAAATATTTGCATCACCACTTTGAGAATCATTTATTTAAGCGATGTAAAATTCTTTTAACATCACTTATGACTGATGCAAATAAAGAAAATAAATGATGTAAAACACACCTTTTTTTGTAGTAACGTTAGATAGTTATAAAATAGGTTCGGATAATATAATTCCAACTATTTTGTGAGAATATCAACAAGTATAAGCTTATACAACTTTGATATACCTATAATTTTATAAATTGCTTTGAATATCAAGTGTGATATTGTAATTTTGGAAGGAATAATTAACTTGAATTTTATAGATTGTTAGAATGAGAAGTTGGAATATAATAGGAAATCTTTGTATAGTATGTTAATGTTGATATTGATAAATTATTTAAATTATTTTATAATTTGAAAATTAATATGACATAATTAGTCTTGCATAATAGTTAAATTCCTCCATATCAAACACTTTTTAAAATTTTACATAATAATTTATATTATTTTTTGTAGGACACATATATAAGGTTTGGAAAATAGAGTGTTTTGGATTTTGGTAGATAGGAGTTACATTTTTTTTAATGTTAGAATTTTATTTGTGTAGATTCATGGAGTCGGGAAGTTGGCATGCATACATGAACATGAACCATTCTTAGAGAGTCCTATAGTGCGGATCACAATGCAGATGATACACAAGCTCTTAGTCAACCTATGGAGGCAGATCCAATATCCTACCAAAATTCCGGTTCAATTCCTTACTGAATGACGCCTCTTCCAACACATAGAGTTACTTTTTGTACCGTGACAAGAGAATCTACGAATCTCCATTCACAAAGATTGAATGTAAGACACCATAATCTCGCGAATATAACCTAACTTAACATAAACTCAAATAACAACTTTTTAAATAATAACGAACTCATTTAATGTATAAAAACATATTCATCTATTAAAATAAAACCGAAAAGATGGAACGTCTTAACAAAAAAGTTCATCTCTAAACCTTAAAATAAAATAACATTGTAATATTATGAAAATCTTTATTAAAATTAAATAAAAATAATAAAATACATCCATGGCTCTCGGACATTACACCACAACGACCGCCACAAGTTTTATATTGTAGTCTCGCCTGAAAAAGAAAAAGAAGGGTGAGTATTCGGGGAAATACTCAGTGAGGGTGTACTTTAGAGCACACATGATTCTTAGATACATTAATTGAAATAACAATAACGAGTATGCACAATATAATCAATAAAGACACAACAACCTATATGTTCTTAATACAATTTTACATGTCATGAAACAATCATTTCTATATGCAATAATTCACTTCAAGTCAATAATCCTAACAATACTATATCACATTCCTGAAGACCTTAGTCTAAGGTACTAATTCTCCTTTACTTTTCTTTTCGTTAACATCCGCAACTTGTCAGCTGTTTGGCCCACTCACTGATGAATCCTTCATGGAACCATGTCACTACACTTCTCATCATGTCTTTCGTGCAGCCAACAAATAATACCGTGCTCCATGACTCAACACCCATGACGCCGGCAGCAACCAATCATGCTAACATGCCTACCAAAAATCTACTTCACATAATTATGCATAAACCATATTTCAAATGCAACAAACAACAATCATATCTATTACCTAATATCAAACATACACATATTCCTACTTCAACTAAGGCATCTTAGGAATCCACATCTAGTCCTCACCTTTGCTACTTGATGAAGAATAGCAAACCCGATTCACCTTTGGACATATTTGATACACGACAGAAAAAGGATCATAACTTTCTGGTCACAGCTCGGAATAATGGATATCAGAAGATTGATCTGGATATATGGATTGAAGATATTCATGCCGGTATGTAGATCGTCTTCTAGACCTCCCTGGATCGCTGGCAAACACATCACAAGTTGGCTGCTCGCGAATCGGATCCCTGTAAATATGGCTTGAGAAAACACTCATAACTTTTAGAAGACAACTCCAAATAATGATCCGCTTACGGCTATAGCTAGATATGAGAATCTAGAATCACTTTACCAGGTTTCATGCCAATCTGATCTGATTTGGCCAACCAATTATCTCTCACGCCAAAACATGTCGGATCAGCCTTCTAGATTGCTGCAATGGTTTCTTCTTCGAGCTGTTTTGATGGTGGCTGCTCAAGTGTGACTCTGGCAGAGCTTCACCGCTCTGATATCTCTGTTTCTTATAAAGTAGAAGAAAAAATCTTAGGTCTGATCGTAGAAAGTCGGAAATACTCTTAATGAGATTATTGAAATGTCACATAATGACTTAGGATAATAATATGAATTATTTTGATCTCTGTTATATTTTTAGCAACATGTTTATAAACTAATGATGTTTTCCTAATGTTAACATGGTTCTCTAACATAACAAAAAAACTTACGAAACTATAAAAAACGATAAAACATGATTTCCCGTACGTAGCACCCAATTGGATGTTACTAGATGGCGATACAAAGGAACGATGGTTTGAAAGACCCTGTCTCAATTTAGTGAACCAATTTAAAATTGACTTCATTTGACTTTATTCTTATGGTTTGATAAATAGATACATTTGTTTTTTAGACGAGATAAATAAATACATTAAGCTCAAAACCTTCACAAATGACCATCTTTAGTTTTTTTCTTTAACACACAATCAAGAACCAATTAAAATAGTGCGGAAAAAACAAGAGTGACAAGATGAGAGAGAGAGAGAGAGGTAGCTGAGGAACTAATACGGCGCCTCCTAACAAAAAGGGATCTCAAACAAAAATAAAGACAATGGAGAAGGTGTGGAGTGTGGCGGAGGCAGACACCACGTGCACTCTCCTCTCTTCTCCTCCTTCTCCTTCTCTTCTTCATCTGCCATTATTAAGTCTTCCGACCCCACATCCTTCCTTCTTCTCTAACTCCAACCTAACCCTCTCTTCCCTCTCCCGCTCTTTAAACCCCTCTCTCTCTCCCCTTCTCTTTCTGTATTACTATTCTTCTGGAGCTTTGATATGGTTTTTTGACTTGCTCTCAAGCGAATTGTACCACGAGGTTTGCAGCTTTTCTTAATTTGAGAGTTAAGTTTTATTTATTTTCTTTGTTGGGTCTCTTTGATCTCAAGCTGTTTTGTCATCTTCATTTCGGATCTAACAGTTGGAATTTTGCTCTTTTCTTCGTTCAAGTTCGGTTCTTTTTTGCTGAATGTTTTTCCGATGATGTCGATGTGGGTTGTCAGTTTTGAGATGAGTTTGTTTCTGATCTTCAATCGCTTGTTGGAGCTAAGCTCGTAAAGTTTCGAGTTTTTCGAGTTCATTTTTCTGGAATTTCATGGTTTTTTTTCCTTCCCAAATTGGGTGATTTTAATCATTAGTTCTCGTCTAGATCTCTCAGATTTCTTTTCCTTTCTAAAAGGACGTCATTATTAGCAAAAGAGAATACTCTTTTTGAACAATTGCAAGAGATCTTTGGTTGCGATTATGTTTTGCTTTTTCGATACTTTTTCTGCATATAAATACGCAAAGCATTGCTGCCATCTATTGGATGATGCATTTTTGTTTTTGAGCTTAAGCAACTGAACATCTGTTTCATTCTTATAGTCCTGTTAAGTTGTTCACAAGTTCATGAGGATAATAGTACCAATGGGTTTTATTTTTGGTCAATTTCTTCTCAAGAGCCTGTTTCTGGTTGGAAGTACAATTCTTGAGGCAAAGTTAGCTGCATATTTGTTTGTAACGTGATTCCGTATGTCTGCTTATGGCTTGTTTTACAGATATATCTGAAGCTCACAGGACAGTAACAATGGCTGGCTATATTAATGGGTATCAAAGTGCTGTAGTACCCGGTAGAAATCATGTGTCGGTGTCTGAGGTTGATGAGTTTTGTAAAGCCCTTGGAGGGACAAGGCCAATCCACAGTATTTTGATAGCTAACAATGGAATGGCAGCTGTGAAGTTTATACGCAGTGTCAGAACATGGGCTTACGAAACATTTGGCTCCGAAAAAGCCATATTATTGGTGGGGATGGCAACCCCTGAAGACATGCGTATCAATGCAGAGCATATCAGAATCGCTGATCAGTTTGTGGAGGTTCCGGGAGGAACGAACAATAACAATTATGCCAACGTTCAGCTTATTGTCGAGGTGAATGAAAATATCTGAATTATGTTGTGCTTAGTGTACTGTATACAACCAATGTATTATCAATTACTCATGAGAAGCTTAACATTGGCAAGAAAGTTGTGGTCTTTGGAGTAAGTAGTCATTTTTTTTGTCTAAAAACTATGTGCAGATGGCCGAAATAACACGCGTGGATGCAGTTTGGCCTGGATGGGGTCATGCATCTGAAAATCCTGAATTACCTGATGCCCTAAAGGAAAAAGGAATAATATTTCTTGGTCCTCCAGCAGCTTCAATGGCAGCATTAGGGGATAAGATTGGTTCATCGTTGATTGCACAAGCTGCTGATGTACCCACTCTGCCGTGGAGTGGTTCTCATGTAAGTAAATTAACTCCTGTGAAGCTGAACTTGTTTACCAGAGAATTGTTGATCTGTTCAAAATTATTATTCTTATGTTTTCAGGTTAAAATACCTCCGGACAGCAGTTTGGTAACCATTCCCGAGGAGATCTACAGGCAAGCTTGTGTATACACAACTGAAGAAGCGATTGCTAGTTGTCAAGTTGTTGGTTACCCAGCAATGATCAAAGCATCTTGGGGTGGTGGCGGTAAAGGCATTCGGAAGGTCAGCTTATGTAGATATGCGTTCGGACTGTCACTTCCCTCTTTTCATTGTAGACTAAGCCAATTCCTATATAATGTACTTATTCTGGTTTCATTTTTTAGGTTCATAATGCTGATGAGGTTAGGGCTCTGTTCAAGCAAGTTCAGGGTGAGGTCCCAGGCTCACCGATATTCATAATGAAGGTTGCTTCACAGGTATTAGCTACTTAACTTCATTTCTTGATTTAAGAATAGCTGAGTTCTTATATGGGTACTTTGTAATGCATGGCTTTTCATTACATTTCATTTTTGTTTTTATCGTTTTGTATAGAGTCGGCATTTAGAGGTCCAGCTGCTCTGTGACCAGTACGGAAATGTTTCAGCTCTGCATAGCCGTGATTGTAGTGTCCAGAGAAGACACCAAAAGGTTTGTTAGTGGTTGATTCTGTGTTTCAAATTTTCTTGTCATATCGAAATACATTCTGTTTAACTTTATTCTTACATGCTTCGATTTTATACTCCCAACTGAATTATACTTTCTATTGACGGAGGCAAGTAATTGCATGAGTTCTTACTTTTTGGTTTGTACCATAGATCATAGAGGAGGGTCCAATCACCGTGGCTCCGCAAGAAACCGTCAAGAAGCTCGAACAGGCAGCTCGAAGGTTGGCTAAGAGTGTTAATTATGTTGGAGCCGCCACTGTTGAGTATCTCTACAGCATGGACACTGGGGAGTACTACTTCTTAGAGCTTAACCCTCGGTTACAGGTTGGTTTCGTAATGCAGCTATATTTTTTGAATTCTACTGAGAGGAGAGGTTCAATCTTGAAAGTTGAAGACTTCTCGACTTGATGTTTGAGGTCAGGTTGAGCACCCAGTAACTGAGTGGATTGCCGAGATAAATCTTCCCGCTGCCCAAGTTGCTGTAGGGATGGGAATTCCTCTCTGGCAGATCCCTGGTATGACCTGCATCCTTAGTTACGCTTCCTCTTTAGTCCATAAGCATGTGTAACGACTGTTTGTTGTCTTTTTTCACTTTAATTTGTTAGAGGTAAGACGGTTCTATGGTATAGAACATGGTGGAGGTTATGATTCTTGGAGGAAAACATCTATTGTAGCCTCCCCTTTTGATTTTGATGAAGCTGAATCTATAAGGCCAAAAGGTCATTGTGTGGCTGTACGCGTGACAAGCGAGGATCCTGATGACGGGTTTAAACCCACCAGCGGTAAAGTACAGGTAAAATGATAGCTGTAGAATTCAAAGTTAAAAGACCATTCACTGAGAACTGTGTAGGGGTAACACTTGTATAATTTTGCAACAGGAGTTGCATTTTAAGAGCAAGCCAAATGTGTGGGCGTACTTCTCTGTCAAGGTAGATATACCTGTAGATACTTTGCAATATTAAGTCATTCTCTATGTCTTAAATTTTACGACTTTAGTTGTTTTTTTTTTATTCTAACAGTCTGGTGGAGGCATCCACGAGTTCTCAGATTCCCAGTTTGGTAAGTTGTTTTAAATATTTGGGCTGCTAGGTCAGTTCTTTTCTTGAGTTTTACAAATTGAAACTTCTTTTAATCATCTATTCAGGACATGTTTTTGCATTTGGGGAATCCAGGGCCCTGGCAATAGCAAATATGGTTCTTGGGCTAAAAGAAATTCAAATTCGTGGAGAAATTAGGACTAACGTTGATTACACGATTGACCTTCTACATGTATGCCTCCTTCTTCCTACACACAAAAGTTACACGCTGTGTGTTGCAATGTACCCTGACAAGATTGTTTTTATTGTTGATCAGGCTTCTGATTACCGGGAAAACAAAATTCACACTGGTTGGTTGGATAGTAGAATTGCTATGCGGGTCAGAGCAGAAAGGCCTCCATGGTATCTCTCTGTAGTCGGCGGGGCTCTCTATGTAAGCGCCTCTTTCTCAGAGATCTGATTGTCTCGAAAAGTTTCTATCTGGTGACGTGATGTTCTATATGTCCAGAAAGCATCAGCGACCAGTGCAGCGGTGGTCTCAGATTATGTTGGTTATCTTGAGAAGGGGCAAATTCCCCCAAAGGTATTCCAATATCAGCACTCTCCTACGACTTCCTCCTAATGATATTTTAGCTAACTTTTTCTCTATTAAATTGCAGCATATATCTCTTGTGCATTCTCAAGTATCTCTGAACATTGAAGGAAGTAAATATACGGTATGCCTCTAGTGTTAATATTCTACATCTCTACATTTCTTCTTCTCCTCTTTTTTCTTTTCCTCTGCCATATTTTTTTTTTGAATATGTAGTTACCGAGGCTCACTAACTGAACATAACTGTTTTTAGATTGATGTGGTCCGGGGTGGATCTGGAAGCTACCGGTTAAGAATGAACAAATCAGAAGTTGTAGCAGAAATACACACTCTACGTGATGGAGGTCTGTTGATGCAGGCAAGTTTTCTGCTTTTTGTTTCATACTTAATTTACATGTGTCACACATAGTAACTGCCTTTGTGAATCTAACCTCCTTGGTTGATTTTCACTGTCATTGCAGTTAGATGGTAAAAGCCATGTGATATATGCAGAGGAAGAAGCGGCAGGAACCCGTCTTCTCATTGACGGAAGAACTTGTTTGCTACAGGTTTCGAATATCTCTCGCTCTCTCGCTCTCTCTCTCTCGCTCTCTCTCTCTCTCTCTCTCGCTCTCTCTCTCTCTCTCTCTCTCTCTCTCGCTTTCTCTCTCTCTCTCTCTCTCTCTCTCGCTCTCTCTCTCTCTCTCTCTCTTACAATACCACTTCACATTTTTCTGAAGTCATTTTAGCATTAAGGTGTCTGTTATTTTTGGCTTATTCAGAATGATCACGATCCTTCGAAGTTGATCGCTGAGACACCGTGCAAGCTGCTGAGGTATCTGGTTTCAGATAACAGCAGTATTGATGCTGATATGCCCTATGCGGAAGTTGAGGTCATGAAGATGTGCATGCCACTTCTATCACCTGCGTCAGGAGTTATACATTTCAAAATGTCTGAAGGACAAGCCATGCAGGTAAAAAACCACTCCATTGCTAAGCAAAATATTGGTTTCCTACAATTTGTAGAAATCGATTAACCCATCCATTATTTTCTTGACAGGCTGGTGAACTTATAGCCAAGCTTGATCTTGATGATCCTTCTGCTGTAAGAAAGGCCGAACCCTTCCATGGAAGTTTCCCAAGGTTAGGACTTCCAACGGCAATTTCTGGTAAAGTTCATCAGAGATGTGCTGCAACTTTAAATGCTGCTCGCATGATTCTTGCCGGATATGAGCATAAAGTTGATGAGGTAAACGCAATTTGATCTCCTATTTGATCAAACTTTTCTAAAAGGTTATTGGACTATGAGACTGCTCATATCTTGTAGGTTGTTCAAGACTTGCTTTGTTGCCTTGATAGCCCTGAACTCCCGTTCCTTCAGTGGCAAGAATGCTTTGCAGTTCTGGCAACACGTCTACCTAAAGATCTCAGGATCATGGTAAACACTTATGTACTATTCATAATCTGTATTCCTATCCTGCGTTATGTTTTTTTTTTTTTGAGGTTCAAGACTTCTAATGGTTTTCTTACAAAAATTCTTTATCAGCTAGAATCAAAGTACAGAGAATTTGAGAGTATCTACAGAAATTCCCTGACGGCAGATTTCCCTGCCAAACTTTTAAAAGGCATTCTTGAGGTAATTGCCTCTTATTTTTTTTCCATTCGAGACGTTGAAATTTTATTTCCCAAACCTGACTTTTACACGTTGAACTCTTCCGTCTACTTCTTGCAACAGGCTCATTTATTATCTTGTGATGAGAAAGAGAGAGGTGCACTGGAAAGGCTCATTGAACCATTGATGAGTCTTGCAAAGTCTTATGAAGGTGGTAGAGAAAGTCATGCCCGTGTTATTGTTCATTCCCTTTTTGAAGAATATCTATCAGTAGAAGAATTATTCAATGATAACATGCTGGTAATATATGATTCAGTAGCTGATATACGGCTTTTTGGATACTAGGTATGTCTGAGGAGTCTTAATAAGCTCTTAATTTTTGTTGAATAGGCTGATGTTATTGAACGAATGCGTCAGCAATACAAGAAACATCTGTTAAAGATTGTGGATATAGTACTCTCACACCAGGTCTGTGATCATCCTTCTCACACCAGGTTTCTCTTATCTTTATCACTATGTCATTGAAATGGTATGCTCATGTGTTCTTCATTTCAGGGCATAAAAAACAAAAACAAACTCGTGCTCCGGCTCATGGAGCAGCTTGTTTACCCTAATCCTGCTGCGTACAGAGATAAACTTATCCGATTCTCGACACTTAATCATACTAATTACTCCGAGGTGCGTTGGCTCTTTTTTAGTTTTATAAAGTTCATATTTACATTCGTCAACTGATGATCCGTTTTTGTGCGTAGTTGGCGCTCAAGGCGAGTCAATTGCTCGAACAGACCAAACTAAGTGAACTTCGTTCAAACATTGCTAGAAGCTTGTCAGAGTTAGAAATGTTTACAGAGGATGGAGAAAATATGGATACTCCCAAGAGGAAGAGTGCCATTAATGAAAGGATGGAAGATCTTGTGAGCGCATCTTTAGCTGTTGAAGATGCTCTCGTGGGACTATTCGACCACAGCGATCACACACTTCAGAGACGGGTTGTTGAGACTTACATTCGCAGGTTATACCAGGTTAGAGATCATTCTATTGCACCCTTATTATTTTTGGACTACAATTTATTTAACAGTTACAACATTGGCTTCATTTTAACTCGGCTCTTGTCATTAGCCCTACGTCGTTAAAGAAAGCGTGAGGATGCAGTGGCACCGTTCTGGTCTTATTGCTTCCTGGGAGTTCCTAGAGGAACATATGGAAAGAAAAAGCATTGGCTCAGATGAGCTCGAGACATCTGAAAAAGGATTTGTTGAGAAGCATAGTAGGAGAAAATGGGGGGCTATGGTAATAATCAAATCGTTGCAGTTTCTGTCGAGTATAATTAGTGCAGCATTGACAGAAACAAACCACAACAACTATGAATCTACCGGAGCTCCTTTATCTGGCAATATGATGCACATTGCTATTGTGGGCATCAATAATCAGATGAGTCTTCTTCAGGACAGGTACTTGACGCAGCCTAACTGTTTCAACAACCTTAGGTACTATAGTGTATACCTTATATGTTGACATTGCTGGTTTGTTTGTCTCAGTGGGGACGAGGACCAAGCTCAAGAAAGAGTAAATAAGCTGGCCAAAATTCTCAAAGAGGAAGAAATTAGTTTTAGCCTCTGTTCTGCTGGTGTCGGTGTGATAAGCTGTATAATTCAGCGAGATGAAGGACGAACACCCATGAGACATTCTTTTCATTGGTCGATGGAGAAACGGTATTATGCAGAAGAGCCGTTGCTGCGTCATCTGGAGCCTCCTCTGTCCATATACCTTGAGTTGGTATGATCGTGACTATGAATTATCATTACATATTTACAGTATCTCGCATTCTTTTTAATGATTGTTTACTAAATTTCTGACGCAGGATAAGCTGAAAGGGTACTCCAATATGCAGTATACGCCTTCACGAGATCGTCAATGGCATATGTATACTGTAACAGACAAGCCATTGCCAATCAAGAGGATGTTCCTGAGATCTCTTGTTCGACAGGCTACGATGAACGATGGCTTTATGTTGCAGCAAGGGCAAGATAAGCAAATTAACCAAACACTGTTCTCCATGCCCTTTACATCGAAATGCGTTCTTAGGTCTTTGATGGATGCCATGGAGGAATTGGAACTGAATGCCCATAATGCTGCCATGAAACCAGACCACGCACATATGTTCCTTTGCATACTACGCGAGCAGCAGATAGATGATCTTGTGGCTTACCCCAGGTTGATATGACTGTGTCCTTGACAAGTTATGTTTGTAATGTTTCAGACCTTACGGTAATAATATTCACGTATTTTTCACAGGAAAGTTGAAGTGAATGCAGAGGACGAAGAAAGTACAGTCGAGATGATCTTAGAAGAAGCAGCTCGAGAGATACACAGGTCAGTCGGAGTGAGAATGCATAGGTTGGGTGTGTGCGAGTGGGAAGTGCGGCTGTGGTTGCTGTCCTCTGGACTAGCAAGTGGCGCTTGGAGGGTTGTGGTTGCAAACGTGACAGGCCGTACATGCACTGTTCATGTAAGTTCAGCTTGCAAACATTTGATTGTACAAACCATACAGATAGTGTAAGTACACATCTCAATGACTTGACCTGCTGTGATTCGATGTTTCAGATATACCGAGAAGTGGAAACTACTAGAAGAAACAGTTTGATTTATCACTCACTAACCAAGAAGGGTCCTTTGCATGGAACCCCAATCAATGATCAATATAAGCCGCTGGGATATCTCGACAGGCAACGTCTAGCCGCAAGGAGGAGTAACACTACTTATTGCTATGACTTCCCGTTGGTTAGTAACGGAATTCAGAATATTCGCGCATATAGGTTTACTCTTTTGGCTACTTCCAACCCCTCTTTTGTTAATTCTTTCCTTTTCAGGCATTTGAGACAGCCTTGGAGCAGTTGTGGGCATCACAACATCCGGGAGTTAAGAAACCATGTAAGAATACTCTTTTCAATGTTAAAGAGCTTGTATTCTCCAATCCGGAAAGTTCTTGTACATCTCTTATTCCGGTTGAAAGACCACTGGGGCTCAACGAGTTTGGAATGGTGGCCTGGTGCCTAGAGATGTCGACTCCTGAGTTTCCTATGGGACGGAAACTTCTCATAGTCTCCAACGATGTCACCTTCAAAGCTGGTTCTTTTGGTCCTAGAGAGGACGCATTTTTCCTTGCAGTGACTGAACTTGCTTGTGCCAAGAAGCTTCCCTTGATTTACTTGGCAGCAAATTCTGGTGCCCGACTCGGGGTAGCTGAAGAAGTCAAAGCCTGCTTTAAAGTTGGATGGTCGGATGAAGTTTTCCCCGAGAATGGTTTTCAATATATATACCTAAGCCCTGAAGACCATGCAAGGATTGGATCATCTGTCATTTCGCACGAAATAAAGCTTCCTACTGGGGAAACAAGGTGGGTGATTGATACGATCGTTGGTAAAGAAGATGGTATTGGCGTAGAGAACTTAACAGGGAGTGGGGCAATAGCGGGTGCTTACTCAAGGGCATACAACGAGACTTTTACTCTAACCTTTGTTAGTGGGAGAACGGTAGGGATTGGTGCTTACCTTGCCCGCCTAGGTATGCGGTGCATACAGAGATTAGACCAGCCGATCATCTTGACTGGATTTTCGACGCTCAACAAGTTACTTGGGCGTGAGGTCTATAGCTCTCACATGCAACTTGGTGGCCCGAAAATCATGGGCACAAATGGTGTTGTTCATCTTACAGTCTCAGATGATCTCGAAGGCGTATCAGCAATTCTCAACTGGCTGAGTTATATTCCTGCTTACGTGGGGGGTCCTCTTCCTGTTCTTGCCCCGTTAGATCCACCGGAGAGAACTGTTGAGTACGTCCCAGAGACCTCTTGCGACCCACGAGCTGCTATAGCTGGGGTAAACGACAATACCGGTAAATGGCTTGGTGGTATCTTTGATAAAAATAGCTTTATTGAGACTCTTGAAGGCTGGGCAAGGACAGTAGTGACTGGTAGAGCTAAGCTCGGGGGAATACCCGTTGGGGTTGTTGCAGTTGAGACACAGACTGTAATGCAGATCATCCCAGCAGATCCAGGACAGCTCGACTCTCATGAAAGAGTTGTTCCGCAAGCAGGGCAAGTCTGGTTCCCTGATTCCGCGGCCAAGACAGCTCAAGCGCTCATGGATTTCAACCAGGAAGAGCTTCCATTGTTTATCCTAGCGAACTGGAGAGGGTTTTCTGGTGGGCAGAGAGATCTTTTCGAAGGAATACTTCAGGCTGGTTCAACAATAGTAGAAAATTTGAGAACATATCGGCAGCCGGTGTTTGTGTACATCCCGAAGATGGGAGAGTTACGTGGTGGAGCGTGGGTTGTTGTTGATAGCCAGATAAATTCGGATTACGTTGAAATGTATGCTGATGAAACTGCTCGTGGAAATGTGCTTGAGCCAGAAGGGACGATAGAGATAAAATTTAGAACGAAAGAGATGTTAGAGTGCATGGGAAGATTGGATCAGAAGCTTATCAGTCTCAAAGCAAAACTGCAAGATGCCAAGCAAAGCGAGGCTTATGCAAACGTCGAGCTTCTCCAGGAACAGATAAAAGCCCGAGAGAAGCAGCTTTTACCAGTTTACATCCAAATCGCCACCAAATTCGCGGAACTTCATGACACTTCCATGAGAATGGCTGCAAAAGGAGTGATCAATAGTGTTGTGGAATGGAGCGGCTCGCGGTCCTTCTTCTTTAAGAAGCTCAAACGGAGAATCGCCGAGAGCTGTCTTGTGAAAAACGTAAAGGAAGCTTCCGGAGACAACTTATCGTATAAATCTGCAATGGGTTTGATTCAAGACTGGTTCTGCAAATCCGATATTTCGAAGGGCAGAGAAGAGGCTTGGACAGACGACCAACTGTTCTTTACATGGAAGGAAAATGTTAGTAACTACGAGTTAAAGCTGAGCGAGTTGAGAGCGCAGAAACTGTTGAATCAACTTGCAGAGATTGGGAATTCGTCGGATCTGCAGGCTCTGCCCCAAGGTCTTGCTAATATTCTAAACAAGGTATGGAATGAAACCCTAAAGAAATTCGAGGTTTTGTAACTTTTTGGTTCTCTAGTATTTTTTTTTTCTGCATGGCTCGTTTTTTTGGGGAGGCTTAAGTGAATATTTGTGCTGCAGGTGGAGCCTTCAAGAAGAGAAGAGCTGGTGGATGCGATACGGAAGGTGTTGGGTTGATTATGAAAGAGGTCTAGCTTGAGTTCCAAGAAAGATTGTCCTTTTACAGTTGCTTGTCTCCTACGGTGACAGAAGCTAGTTGATTGAAATTAGATTTGGACCATCTTCGTTCTATTTGTTGGCCCTAGCTGTACATGTTGTTGTAGCATTGTCATTACCGTATAAGCGAATTCATTCAACATGTCAATATGCCTAAATAAATGTATTTTATATTGTTATGTATCGTTAACTCCGTCACTCAACATAAACCTCGTCTGTTGTTAACTCAACTTTTCACATATATATCAACAAGATATTTGGAACTGGTCCTGTGGATGTAACTTCCAACAAGATATTTCAGAGAGTTCCAAATAATGCGTATATGTTAAACAAATATTAGATTCACAGGTGCAACACTTGAAACGCGTGATTGGTACAGTCTCATCAAGAATTGGCAATACATGTAACAATCGTATTGGGTTGAAACTGAATAAGAAACAAATCTAAGAGAAAATAGATAATGATTAGTGGACATGATCTTGAAGGAAAGAGATTATAAATACGGTCAGTCTTACTTAATCCAGCTTATTCTAAAATGTTATTTTATATTTTTCTGGTGATAATAAAAAAATATATTGACTGGTCCAAAAGTTTTGACCAACAGAAAACAGCATCTGCCTTTAAAGCCCAATTTGATTAGTATTATTACAAGCCCAGTAAAAAAAACGAGGACAGTTTTTAGTTTTTACACTATATTACTGATCTCGGGACAGCTTTGGCTTGATCACAAAGTTTTGTTGTAGCAATGACCTTTGGTTTCGTGTTCTGTCGGAAATGGAGATCGGATCACAACAGTTGCACGTACCATTGACAGAGATTTTCCAACCACACTGAAGCTGGGAAATACTATGAGAATCTTTAAAGGAGTTTCTGTTTACAAAATCAAAAGCAGAAGAAGAGGAGGAACAAATCTGTCTCTGAACAAACATTTTCTACCTCTGGCTTTCTTAGGAAAGAACGACTCGAGCCGCCTTGATCCGACATCATTTCGGGACAATGGTTTGCTTTCTTTCTTTAGATTTCATTTTGCTTCATATGACTGCGCAAAGCATTGATACATCGTGATTCCCAATACCAAATTTGTTTATTTTTTGGTAGTGTCATAAGCTCATGAGGATAGTACCAATTAATGTCCTTTTTGTTGTTGTCGTTATGTTCTATCTTTTTTCAAGAGCCCGTGTCTCTGGCCTAAACTAAATTTAATGAGACATCGTTTGTCCATAATTTCAATGTAAACTCATCAAGTATGTCTGCTTATGGCATGTTTTACAGATTTATCTGAATCTCAACGGACAGTTAGAATGCCAGGCTCCATCAACGGTTCTCAAACCGCTGCCGTAGTCGATGAGTTCTGTAAAGCTCTTGGAGGGAAAAGACCAATCCATAGCATTTTAGTCACTACAAATGGAATAGCAGCTGTGAAGTTTATACGTAGTGTCAGAGCATGGTCTTATGAAACATTTGGCTCGGAAAAAGCCATTTCATTGGTGGGGATGGAAACTCCTGAAGACATGCGTATCAATGCGGAGCATATAAGAATCGCTGATCAGTTTTTCGAGGTTCCTGGAGGAACAAACAACAACAATTATGCTAATGTTCATCTTGTTGTTGAGGTGAATGCAGCTTTTTAGGAACAACTAATGCTTTAGTTGTGGTTCTTTGGAGTTATTCTTCATTCATCTGAGTTAAAATGTTATGTGCAGATGGCCGAGATAACGCGTGTGGATGCAGTTTGGCCTGGTTGGGGTCATGCTTCTGAAAACCCTGAGTTACCCGATGCTTTAAAGGCAAAATGAATCATTTTCTTGGTCCTACAGCAGCTTCAATGGTAGCATTAGGGGATAAGATTGGTTCGTCGTTGATTGCACAAGCTGCTGATGTACCTACTCTGCCATGGAGTGGTTCCCATGTATGTAAACTTTTTTTAAAAAGAGAAATGTTGATCTGTGTAAAGTTCTGAATCCTTATGTTTTCAGGTTAAAGTTCCTCTGGATAGCAGCTTGGTGACGATCCCCGAGGAGGTCTTTAACCAAGCTTGTGTCTACACAACTGAAGAAGCGGTTGCTAGTTGTCAAGTTGTCGGTTACCCAGCGATGATCAAAGCAGCGTGGGGTGGTGGGGGTAAAGGCATCAGGAAGGTCAGCTTGTGTAGATATATACCTTTCACTACAAGAAAACAATCGTTTTCCAACGGTCCATTACGACGGTTTTCAAATCGTCGCAAGCTTACAACGATTTTACGACGATCGTACGTCTAATTTTAAAACCGTCGTAACACCGTCGTATAAAAAAATCGTCGTAAACTTGACGTACAATTTACGACAAATTACGACGATTATACATCGATAACGAGAGATTTGCTAGTAAATGTAAAATCGTCGTAAATTCGATGTAAAATTACGACGAATATACGACGACTGCATTTCGATGTACATATTACAACGATTTTACGTCGAAAAAGAAGTTAGGTGGAAAACATTTAAAACATGTTTACCTAACAATTTAGGGGAAAGATTTTATCGCATAATCGTCGTAAACTCGTCGTAATATTATTTTTGAATGTAAATTCGTTGTAAAATGTCGTCGTAAAAGCATTGTAAAGCCCGAAATTTTCCTATAAATAGATCTTCATTTCTTCTTTCAATCACAACACATCATCATTCAAACATAAGAGCATCTTCATCTTGGAGACCCATTGTAGGTCTTTTAAATGTTAGTATAGTGTTGTAAATCCTTATATATTGGGTTGTCCATTGCTGGAAACCCGAATTAAGAGTTATATTACTTTGAAAAAAAGAAGTAATAATATTATAAAGTTAATTTACTCCATTCACGTGGCTAGACGTGACACAATTGTCTAATCAATAAAAAGAGATAGTATTTTCAGTTTATTTTCAAGATGTCTATATACGAGCTAAGAAGTTGGATGTATATGCGTAAAGATTCAGATGGGGCGTTGACAGAAGAGTTCAAGAACGGGTTAGAAATATTTATGTTTCAGGCTACAAATATGGAGAGAACGAAAGATAGTGGGAAGATGTTTTGTCCTTGTTTGAAATGCAAGAATACGAGGTATATACTAACCAAAACCGTGTGGACGCATTTATTAAATAGAGGGTTTATGCCGCAATATTTTGTTTGGTATCTACATGGAGAAGGATATGGCAGTAATACTCATGGGAATGCTGGTAGTAGTAGTAATTATCAAAGTCATGTTGATATTGATGAATCAAATTATGGTCATCAGCCTAATCAGTATCAATATGATCAAAGTGTAGATCATGATAGGATGCACGAAATGGTGACTGATGTATTTCATGAAACGCATACTGGTAATGCTGTTGAGGAACCTAATGTAGATGCCAAACGATTTTATGATTTGTTAGACAATGCTAATCAGCCAATCTACGAAAGATATAGAGAAGGCTTGTCTAAATTATCGTTGGCAGCTAGGATGATGTCAATTAAAACAGATCATAACCTGGCTAAGGTTTGCATGGATGATTGGGCTGATCTTCTGAAAGAGTATCTACCGGAGGATAACTTGGCAGCGGGAACATACTATGAAATTCAGAAGTTGATTTTTAGTCTTGGTTTACCTTCGGATGATAGATGTATGTGTTGACAACTGTATGATTTTTTGGAAGATGATAATCAGCTGGAGGAATGTCGATTTTGCCAAAAACCAAGATACAGGCCGCAAACTGGTGGGCATAAAAGGATACCGTACAAACGTATGTGGTATCTCCCTATAACTGATAGGTTAAAACGGCTTTATCAATCTGAAAGGACAGCTGCATCAATGAGGTGGCATGCAGAACATACACAAGTAGATGGAGAAGTTGTTCATCTATCAGATGCACAGGCATGGAAACACTTCAATATGGTATACCCAGATTTTGCTAAGTTCAAACGGAATGTCTATCTTGGTCTGTGCACTGATGGTTTTAGTCCATTTGGTATGTCTGGTAGACAATATTCATTATGGCCAGTAATCCTAACTCCTTATAACCTTCCTCCAGATTTTTGCATGCAAAGGGAATTTCTTTTCTTAAGTATTTTGGTTCCAGGTCCAAATCATCCGAAGCGAGCTCTCGATGTATTTCTGCAGCCACTCATACATGAGTTGAATCAGTTATGGTATACTGGTGTTCGTACATATGACTGTTGATATATTCATAAATTGCATCATTTAATGTACATATTCTAGTCCAAATTATGTCTCATTTGCATACATTTTAGGTCTTTAGGCATTGTTTTAGGACATAGGAGATTGCATTAGGTCCAAGAGAGTTTTGCATGGTTTGGAGTGTTAAACATGTGCTTTTGGAGCTTATTTGGAGTGGAGGATATGATTCAGATGAAGAAATGGAGTTGAAATGATAAAAAATGGTGAAAAGGAGCAATTTTGGGTTTCTAGGCAAAATGATGTACTGATGGCCGAAGATTCTCGGCCAAAATCCTTCCCGCGGGTAGCTTTCTTGGCCAAAAACACGTACCGCGGTCAAGTCTCTCGGTCAAAAATCCCGGATGCAGATACATTTCAGAAATCGCGTCACCGGAAGCTCTTGCCGGCCGATTCAGCTTACAAGGTCTTCAGCAAAGTTGGAGATGATTGAGTCAAGAACCCAGGACAGGTTGAATCAGAGCATTTGGATCACTGAGCTGAAAGATACGGTCACCGGAAGACAGACCTCTCTCGCATACATTCCGGAGCAATCCGATACTCCTGAATGATCGCCTGTCCGGGGAACCTTCCGGTCCGATTCAGTTGTCGGGGGATTCATCAAAGTTGGCGTAGATTAGATCACTGTTCCAGAACAAGTGGAATCATGGAATTCGGACGCGTGAGCAGAAAGTTAAGCTCGTCGGAAGAAACTCCTGTCTCGCTGCCGTTTGGACCAAGCCGATGAGCTCCGAAGAATGCGAAGGACGGTGCACTTCCAGACCGATTCGGTTTCCGACGCCTTCATAAGAATCAGAGATATTTGAGTCCTCTTTCCAGAACGTCCAAGATCATTCAATTCGGATCTATGATTAGGAAGATACGGTCTCCGGAATGGACACATGTCTAGACGCCTCTCTCTGATCGTGTAAATGCACTGCGAAGATGAGCCCTCCAGGAAGCCTTACACTTCCCAAGCACCGAAGCTTCCTTCACCGAAGTTGTAGATATATGAGTCCTCTCGCCTCTGAAACCGGAATCACTCAATTCGGACAAGTATCTTATGAGTTACACTCTCCTG